AGTCATAGAGCTAATAAGAAACCTGAGCTAATGGACCAATCAGCTTTATAACTTATGGAGTCCTCTGTGTGATTTTCTTTGGGGCTTGCCAGCTGTGGGGTACCAGGCAGGACAGATACCCCAACAAGCCAGCCTTCATGTTACAGTGTGGCAAGAACTAATTGGCTCCACCTTTTCCAACATGGCAGAGGAATGTTCATTGCCAGCTCTGTGAGCCATGTTCACTGCTCAAGCTCTAGGAATGCAGGGAATCTATGTTACTATTTTTTTTCAAAGTTTATTAAATTATGAAAGTTTCCATTTCCGCCCCTCTTTATTTATTATGTATACAGTGTTCTGCCTGCCTGCATGTATCTCTACAGGCCAAAAGAGGGCACCAGATCTCATTCAAATACTTATGAGCCACCATGTGGTTGCTGGGAATTAAACTCAGGATGCCTGAAAGAGCAACCAGTGCTGTTAACCACTGAGCCATCTCTCCAGTCCCTTCTATGCTACCATTAAGCAAATAGTAGCATGCTGCTCATAAACCCCATTTAGTGCAGGACCTCCTGAAAAAAGCCAGAGCTGTTCATGCAACTAGCAGGATCCAGAAAATCATCTTAAAGGAGTCACACTTCTGCTCACCACCAGCAAACAGAGTCCACCTCAGAAACTGCTGCTACCAAGAAGCCGTGCTTAGCTATGTTCTTTTGTGTCTAGAATTTCTTCCCAAGCTCTCTCAGGTTCTATGTGAATGCTGCATTTCGTTTGCCAGCCACTATGACCTGAATAATCACACAGAAACTATATATATATAAACTATAAACTAAATTAATTAAATTATTTTAAGCTTGGCCAATAGCTTAGGCATATTTCTGGCTAACTCTTATATCTTAAATTAACCCATTACTATTATTCTGAGTATCACCATGAGGCTGTGACATACTGGTAAGGCCCCTAAAGTTCTGGTGTGTCCTTCTCCTTCCACAGCTACATAGTGTCCCTTCGACTCTGCCTACTCGATCTCTGTTCATATTTCCTGTCTGGCTTTGCTCTGCTAAATCATTGGCCAAACAGCTTCTTTATTAACCAATGGTAATAAAACATATTCACAGCATACAGAGGGGAATCCCACATCAACTGCTCTCGGGAACAGAGGTTATTTCCTGGCACTTGAGTACTTACCAGTGGCTAGACCACTGAAGGAAATGGCTCTCTGTCCCCCAGCAAGCTCTGAGTGGAATCAGGATGCATGATGTGGAACCCACAAAGAATCATTCAAAAAGTCTAAAAGAATAATAATAAAGAAAAAAAGTGACTGCAACCTCAAGCCAAATTCCAACCAATAGAAATAGATTCTGCTAGGCCTGCCAGTCCAACAATTTTAAATAAAGGCCCTCCCAGGGAAAAGAATTCTGCCATCACAGCAAATCGATGACGTAAGAGCGGAGCCATACTCACCAGGGAAAGCCTACAGGGCTTTTAGAAAAGGAAGAAACTTGGTTCCTGCGCGCATTCACTCCGACGTTGAAGTGTCTGTGGGCACAGGGAAAGCGGCATTTATGCGACGCCTAGAACCAAGCCCTCGCTATTTTTCAATTTAACCTCTGGAAAAGCAGCTCAAGTGCTTCAAATCCAGAGCCAGGCTGGACCCAGACACACCCTCCTCCGCTCTGCTTCTGCCTCTTTCCTTGTTCTCTTCTCTGCACTTGTGGTCCTATTCCTTGGAGGACGCTTCTCAGCTTGTTTTTGTTTGTTTGTTTGTTTTTCTCTCTCTGACCATTAAACTTTTCACTACCTTCCTGTCCAGTCTGCTTCAACCTTCGTTTTTTCCTTTGGATACTGCTGTATTGGTTAAACCCATTTTGCCAGACCTGTGTTTCTCTCTCATGTTCAGGCCGCTGCCCTGCGCGTCGTCTCTGCTCTCCTCTGGACGGCTTTCTCTTTCTCCTCTGGTGTCTTTGCTGACGGCGGGCACTGAGCAGAGCACGTGGGAACAGCAGATTCTGTGCAGTGGGAGCCACCATGATATTTCTGCTGACTCAGGCTCGGGGTTGGTCCCTGGTAAATCGACAGTCCCCTGACAGCCAGGGCTCGGCTTGCTGATGTGAGCTGGTGACATTGAGGCCGTTGATCTGTCTGTGAACCTCCTGTGTGATCTTGAGTAGGTCCGACAGTTCCCAATGAGGGTCTCTGAGTAAACGGTCGGTACCTGTGTCTGGAATCAACCTCTCAGGAGTCCTCCTCTCTCATCATTCTGAAACAAGTCCTGTCTCTAAGTCTCTGACTTTCTGGACTATAATATAATCTTCAAGTTTATCTTGAAGAATCATGCCTTCAAGATAGGTCATGCCTTCATTTCAGGTCAACAAAAATGGATTCTCTCCATCAGACTAAAACTTGGTGGAGAAATTTGATCATATTCATTCGTTACTTGCTTCCGTTTCATCCACATTACTGCAACACTCAGGTGGCTAAACACTGTGAGGTCGAAATTACATCTCTTTCTGCCCACAACCATTCACCTCCGAGGCAGGAGCAGACATTACAATTAATGTCTACCCCCTGACCAACGCTACCTTCCCAGAGACAGGTGGAAGTGGAAAAGAGACCCTGCCATCACCATCAGCACTGCCAGTGGAGGGGACTAATTGTCCAAGATCTAATCATTTGGATCTACTGTTTGAACAGTGAGTGTTTTCCTCTGGGAATACCCGGGGCTGAGTGGAGACTCTAAGAAACTATCAGGATCTCAATGGAGCTCTAGCTGTTTGATTCAGGGGTGACTATTTCCAAAGGAAAGAAATTAGTTACATGAATATGCGATGGAAACTCTGACCTGGAATAGTCTGCCTAACTTTTCACCTAAATTCATAGGGCAGAAGTTTCTACATGGCCATGAACTCCTGTTCTCATTGGCATGAGAAAGACTAGTGGGTATCCTCCAAAAATACCGCGAAGACTCTTTACAATATAAATCATTCCTCACTTTCCACATCCCTCTGCAGAGTGTCATTTCTTCTCTTATTGACAGATGGAGCCGGAGAGAGGTGGGGTGAGACTATTTCCTCATACATTTGATTCTGAGTTGGACTTAACGCTTGTTCTCTCTCTCTCTCTCTCTCTCTCTTTCTCGCTCTCTCTCTCCCTCCCTCCCTCCCTCCCTCTCTCTCTCACACACAAATAATAATGAATGGAATAATCTTTTTTTTTAGCCTTTGCACAAATCCGTCTTTATTTGTAAAAAATAATATGTAACTAAAGCTAACTTGATTTTTAAAATCAGAGTTCATTTAGTGATAATGTACATTTTATAATAAAATTGTAGTAAAATACTGACATTTGATAGTTTAAACAAAGTATCATTCATGTAAAAATCATGTTATAGCATGTAAAATTTAATTAGAAAATTCATGGTTCACAACAGCACAGCATCTTGTTGACACAGCTGAGGGCAGAACACAATTCTCAGTGAGGCTCGACGTTCGCAACAACAGAACCGCATGCCAAGCCGCTGACGCTCACGCTCTCGTAAGGTGCACTGAGAACCCAGCCAGCGGGATCGAACCCCCCACAACCAAGGCTCGTTGGCCTCACAGAACGACTTCGGGTCACTTACTTCAGCAAGACCTTGGTGCAAACTCTATTGTCCTCCAAATTAAAATACGCGTCAGCAGCTTCAATCGCCATTTTCGGACAGAAGATAAATCTGTGTTTTACAGTTAAAATCTGTACAAAAGTCAAGCCCTGAAGTGTTTTCCCCAAGAGAAAAGTTCTAATGTTAAAAAAAAGAGAGAGAGAGAGACAGAGAGAGAGAAGAGAGAGGTAGTATGTGGAAGTATTTGGACTTACAATGTTGAGCCCGTGTGCTACTTAGCTCATGAATACAACTGAGCCTTCCATACCTAATGTTACCTTCCACCTGAGAGCCCCACTGTGCTAACTCACTCCTGGTGTCAGAGCTGGAACGCTGCCAGCAAGTGGTGCTGTGTGAGAGGAAGAACTCGGTGAATGCAACAAAGTCACTGGGTTGCCGCGCTCAGCCTCGGCTATGAGCCTACAAAGAACGCCTTCAGTATTGAGTCCAGCTCCTTTCACTGGGTGAGACTTCATCTCCGCGCTCTCACCACAGAGAAAGAGCGTCCTTCAACTCGGAGTCTTCGCTGTTGCAGGAACACATCTGGGAGGCATGCATACTTGCCCCGCCAGACGGTTAGGTAATAAAAAACTGTTAGCCTCGGGGATCCACACATGTGGATCACGGTGCCTGTGCATGCCACACGAGGGCCTCTGGCGAGGGAGGGCAACTGCTGTCCCCTCCTCCTGAACGGATGCACAGAAGAGAATAAATAACTCAGATAATTAACACCCCTTCGGGTGGTGAACGTGACACGGGCTTCCCGAGGTGCAGGCAGCGCCCTAGAATCCCCAGGAAGAAAAACTTCATCTTTTGCATAAAAAGTGCACGCTTGTCCTGTGTGTTAAGTCTTTTAACTTGGGGTCCTTTTATCCAACATGATCCACACTGCCTGGTACACTTGAAGAGTGTGGAGCACACTAACTGTACAACACGCACACACACACACACACACACACACACACACACACACACACATGCACGTGCGCGAGAACAATCTCCAATGGACTAGGGGTCCACTGGTGGTCAAGAGGTTAAAGGGCAGTCAGTAGGACAAAGGCACCCTGCAACTCTGACACTACAGGGTGGAGACAACAACAGGGGGTGCTCCAGGGCTGGCTGGTGGGAAGCACCCCTAAACATGGCCAGCTAAAGTCTTAGGAAAACAGAACGAAAACTGCACTTGAAAAAACAATGTCACAATCAACAGAGGAACCTTTTTTAGGGTCAGAATACATCAAGGTTGGGAATCCAAGAACTGAGGTTCCCAGTGGACCAAGGAGACATCAGACATCACAGAGGACAAACGAACGGCTCTGAGGGGCAGGTGGAACAGAGCACTGCAGCAGGGCTGCAGGCGGGAGCAGCGTCGGCCCCTGCAGCCAGGCCTCTCACATGCACCATCAGTCCGCCAGCAGCCACCCATTCCAGCCACGCCTTAGGCTTGCCCACGGAACACTGAGGCCCAGAGTGCCAGTCTCGTGCCACATCTGTAGCACCTGGAAAACACACGTGGCTTCACAATGTTATGAAGCGTGCCGTCTTCCTCTAAAAGTCTCTGGTCTGGAGCCCAGGGTTCAAACTCTGTGTCCAGGCTGCTGGGCACAGGCACCGGGTCCTGTGTCGGGGAGAACCCGTTCTGCCCTGACTCAAAGCTGAGCTCGATCTGGGTCAGGGACTCCAGGCTCTGGGCATCAGGGGCAGCCTTCGGGATCTGCTGTGGCTCGCCACTGTCTTCGATGATGATGTCGTCCTCATCGCTATCCTGGTCCTCTGGCTCAAAGCTGGCTTCCACCTGCTGCGGGTAGCCCAGCAGGCTGTTGTCGGTAGACTGGCTGGAGCTGCCAGAAGTCCGACTGTTCCTCACCACGTTGTTCCTCTGGTTGGCTGGCCGCACAGTGATGATGAGGTTGTGGCTGTTGGCTATCATCATGTCGGTCACCTGGTCCAGGCTCTTCCCGGACACCTCTATACCGTTTACTTCTAAAACTTCATCATTGACAGTGAGCAGTCCTGTGCTCTGGGCCAGACCCCCGGGGACGAGCCTGGATATGAAGATCCCGGGGACTTTCTCTAAGCCATGCGGTGTCACCCGGACACTGGAGCCGTCACGGATGTAGAAACCCAGGGGCTTCTAGCCGGACCCTCCGGTGGGTCTTCGGGAGGATGTCCACATCTATGATGGACGACACCGGCCGGAAGTCCTGAGGCACGCTGATGACGATGTGGGGCTTCTTCCTATGGTTGTGAGGACGTAGCACGTTGCTCAGTACGTTCTTCTTCCGGATCAGGGTGTCCGTACCAAAGGCACTGTAGTCAGCTTCTTCCTTCTTCTGTATAAAAATCCTGAGCAGTGGGTTGGTGGTGGAAACGGCCTTGTGGTAGTTGTCATCGTTGTTTATGGGCAGCAGGTCCCCGTGAATGTCCGCGTAGCCCACCAGCACGGCGACATTGGGGATCTTGTGAACATACTGCAGCAGCCCATAAAACTCCTCAGACTTTCCAGGTTTGGATCTTTCCAGCGAAAAGCGACGAAACTCGGCTCCAAACTTGCTCTTCACCTCCATGGTGCCCAGGCAGCCGTTGCTCACCCCGTGAGGGTGGCCGCGGTTCATGCCACCTCGACTGGGGCCGGCCCTCGGGAGCCTGAATGGAATAATCTTAAACTCATTTATTTAATATTTGCTTATTTTAAATTACTTTTGCCTGAATATTTACATGTACACCATGCTCATGCCTGGTACCTGTGGAGGTCAGAAGAGGGCATCAGACCCTCTGGAACTCTGTGGGTGCTCATAACTAAATCCGGGTCTTCTGCAAGAGCAGTTAGCACTCTTTTTTTACACTGTTTTGTTTGGTTGGTTGATTTATTTTTTTGTTCATTCAAAACTTTATTGAGTAGCTAAGGATACAAAGGGATTAAAACACAGTCAGAGATGAGGCATATGCACCAGTGTAGAAAGCAGCAGAGTTCTCTGCATCACAGGAGTGAAAGAAAAATGCTTTAGGGAAACAAGAGATTGCTTCCAGCCTGCAAGGGGCAGTGGAGGAGGGGAGTGGACGGCCAATCAGGAAAGGGGACTGAGCTGAAACTAGAGGACTGTGGTGTGGATTGGTGATGGTACTCAGTATGGACTATATCTATTTCTCCTTTTGTTTTTTCCCATCTTTGGGCTTAATTTGCCAGTAGTGTCCAGGACTGTTTAATGCGCTTTCTCTATAGATGTTTGAATTTTTGCCCTAATATCTTCTACAGAACTAGGTCCTTTTGGTGTTTTAGAAGTTTTTTTTCTGTTTGGTTTTTTTTTTTTTTTGAAGGATTCTTGACCCTTTGATCTTAGTGTTGATGGTTTTAAGTCTTTTCCTTTTCAATTTGATGTTTTTTTTTCCTGTGTGTGCATTTTTGGCCAGGATATCTCAAACAGATTTCTTCACTGGAACTTTTTCTTCAGTTTCCTCCTCATCAAAATCATCTTCTTCTTCCTCGTTATCATCCTTATCATCTTCCTCTTTGTCAAGTCTTAATTGTTTCTTTGGAACCTTGCTACCATCTCCAGAAGCAGATCACTTTCCAGACATCCTTAAGACTTTCACATCCTCCTCATTTTTATCTTCTGACTCTGCATCTTCCTCTACAGTCACCATGTGCAGCCCACTAATGTGCACAGGCCCTGGACCACACTTCAACCTGAAGACACAGCTCGTGTCATTTCAAAGTTCCCAAAAGAAATTGCACAGACATTTTCAAAGTTGCCAGGGTTACTCTAATTGGACTGCCTTCATAGTTCATTGTTTCTGCCTCTACAATGTGTAATTTCCCTTCAGTCCCCATCCCTAAACTAACCATTCTTAGTGTTGACTGGTGCTCATTCTCATCGTTAGCCACCGTAAAATGGTGATCCTTGTCAGCTTTTAGTGCACAACCGAAAAGGTAGCTCTGAGGCCTAAAAGGGTTCATGTCCATGTCCATCGAGTCTTCCATGAAGTGGAAGCGTGCACTTCGGTGTGACAGAAGTCGGACAGAGGGAACTGCCTACTTCTCCTCAGAACAGACACACAAGATGGAATCATGCTAGGGCATTTTTTTGTTTTTTGAAACAAGGTCTCACTATGTTACCTTGGCTGGCTTGGAACTCACTATGTAGACCAGTTTTACCTTGAACTCACAGAAATGCACCTGCCTTGCCTCCCAGGTGCTGGGATTAAAGGTATGCAGCACCATGTCCAGCCCAGTAAGCACTCAACCTCTGAACCATCTCTCCAGCCCCTAGATGTTGAAGAAGGGTGCTTATTTTGTTCCTGGTGGCCTAGAACCAAAATAATCACACAGAAACTATATTATTTAAAACACTGCTTGGCCCATTAGCTCTAGCTTCTTTTTGGATAACTCTTATATTAATTTAACCCATTTCTATTCATCTGTATATTGTCACATGGCAGTGGCTTACCAGCAAAGATTTGGTATATCTGACTCTGGCAGCTCCATGGCATCTCTCCAACTCCGCCCTTCTTCCTCCCAGCATACAGCCTAGCTTTTCCTGCCTACCTAAGTTCTGTCTTGCTATAGGTCCAAAGAAGCTTCTTTATTCATTAATGGTAATCACAGAACACAGAAGGGACTACCACATCACCTCCCATTTTCTGTTTAAATAAAAAGGAAGGTTTTAACTTTAACATAGTAAGATTACATATAACAAAACATATCAAACAAGAATTACAGTTACAATGTTTATGCCTACTTTATCTTTTATCATAACTAAGGAAAACTATAACTATAAATTCTTTGACTCCATCAAAGACTCCAGAAGGATATAATATTACCTAAGTAAACAGAAGAGTACATTGTAAGCAACTTCCAAAACTCTAGAATTGACAGAAACATCTCACTGCTTAAACAGTCACCCAAAGTTTTTCTGTATCGTTGAGGCATCCATCTTCAGCCTACAGGCCCATAGTATCCAGCAGACTTCTCCATGAAGCAGGAAATTTTAAAAATAGGTGTGCTTATATTGGCAGTTTGCCAGTCACTTGCTTCTGTATACTGCAGAATGTCTAGCAGACTCTTTCATGAAGCAGGAACCCCAAAGGATCATCTCACCTTTAGGCAAGTTCAGCAGTCATTTCTCTGTGTATCCTGCATGTCAGTTCAGCAATTCAGGCAAGAGCAGTTTCTCGCCCAAATGGCTAAAGAGCCTCTTCAATGCCCATCTTCCTCTCGAAGTAATTGATGCTGCCAGGAGCAGATGTGTCTCATTGTCATGAAAAGTCTTAAGTTTTTAAACATTTAAACCATATTCTGAAGGTCTCTGAAAGATTTGAAGAATACCTATCTAACTGAAATATATCTTTGTACACCTAGAAAATCTAACTAACAGGACTATAAGCTTGACTATTATAGATGATTATCTATTAACTTATATTTCTTGATTGTGTATTATATTTTTAAATGAACTGCACAAACACAATGCTTAATAAATAGCAGAAATATATATATAACAAAATTGACCTTAAATTTGTATCAATAAACCAAGATCCATACCAAAGCAAATCTCTATAGCATATCCCCTTTAAATGTAAAGAAACATTTATAGACAATATTTGGGAACATGGGTGTATGCCTCAGCCATTCAGTTCCAAAGAATCACACAGAGGTCTACATCAATTATAAACTGATTGGCCCAGTATCTCAGGCTCTTCTTATTAACTAGTTCTTACAACTTATATTAGCCCTATCCATGTGGTTTGGTACCTTTTTTTGGCAAGGCAGTCACATCTTGCTTCCTCTGTGGCTGGGTCATAACTGTGGACTGTGTCCTCTTCCCAGAAGTCTCCTGTTCTCATTGTCCCGCCTCTACTTCCTGCCTGGTCACCCCACCTATACTTCCTGCCTGGCTACTGGCCAATCAGTGTTTATTTAAAATATAATTGACAGGGTACAGACCATTGTCCCACAGCACCTAGAATAATTTTTAAAGAATAAAATAAAATTTTGCTTTGTTAAATCAATGATGGCAGAAGTAATGCTGGGAGATTCAGAGATTGAGTCTCAGGAAGTTTCACAGTCCCACTCCTTCCCGTCTTTGCACTCTGAGATCAAGATGCCATAAGATGTGAGCCACCTGGAGGAGAGCCAAGGCAACCTGGCTGGTAGCCAGACATGCTACTGAGACCATCTTACAACCACCAGCACCTACGGGCAACCACACAATCATTCCCAGGTAAGAGCAATAGAAGAACCATCTGGATTGCCAACACACAAAATCATGAGCATAGCTGTCAATCAGTCATGGCTTAAGCCACCAAGTATTGGGGTGCTTTATGTGGAGAGAAAAAAATTAGTATGTTCTCAATGAAATTTAAATTTCAAATCAAACTCTGAGTGTCCTAGCCCTTCAAGAGCAATGTTCCTAGTTTGGAAAATGAAAGTGCCATCTTTTTCTTTTTTAACATCCCCACCAGTTTCCCCTCCCTCCTCTCTTTCCAGTCCCTCCCTGCTCCCACAACCCCCTCTGACTCCTCCCATCCACTCCTCCTCTGTTTCTCTTCAGAAAAGGTCAGGCTTCCCATGGGTATCAACAAGAATGTCATATCAAGTTGCAGTAATGCTAACATTAAGACATATTAAGGTTGGACAAAAGAACCCAGTATGAGAAGTAGGGTCCCAAAAGCCCGCAAAAGGGTCAGAGACAGCCTCTGTTTCCATTGTTAGGAGTCCTACAAGAAGACCAAGCCACACAACTGTCACATATATACAGAGGGCCCAGGTCAATCCTATGCAGGCTCCCTGGTTGTCATTTCAGTCTCTGTGAGCTCCTACGAGGCCAGGTTAGTTGATTCTGTGGGTTTTCTTGTGTTGTCCTTGACCCTCCTGGCTCCTACAATCCTTCCCCCACTCTTCTGCAGGGCTCTGAGCTCTGCCTAATGTTTGAATGTGGATCTCTGCATCTGTTTCCACCAGTTGCTGGATGAAGCCTCTCTGATGAGAATTGGACTACACACCAATGTATGAGTATAGCAGAATATTGTTAGGCATCATTACACAGACATTTTCCCCCAGTCCTGTTTGATTCTACCCTAGGTCCCTGGGTTATATAGCCTCTAGGATAGAAAGTGCCACCTTAATTGTCACCATCCCAATTTGCCCAAATAAACTAAGCCTAACATCCTCTTAACACTAAATCTTAAAATTATTCTTTTCTGATAAGAAGAGAAAATTTCAGGTGAAACACTGGGTTACTTTGAAGTATGTATTCTTTGGTTTAAAGCAAATACTACACTGATGAGAAAGAAATACACACGAATGAGTATATATTGAGTCAATGTTATTAACTACAAACGTCTTTGGGGAAAAGAGATGGCTTGGTATGTAAAAGTACTTACTGCACACATCCAATAACCTGAGACCAAGTCCCCCGGCCCCACATAAAGCCTAACTCAGTGTAAAGGGGATGATAATCCCAGCATGCCCTGGGAGCCCACATAAAGCCTAACTCAGTATTAAAGTGAGGATAATCCCAGCATGCCCTGGAGTCTATAAAGAAATGGAAGCATCTCCAAAAAAGCTCATATGACCAGCAGCAGAAACTTGCCTCAGACAAGGCAGAAGGACAACGAC